TTTTACAATTCAATCGGCGAATCAATAATTTAAATAACTTTTAATAAAATATATTTAGTATTTCATTATTTATAAAAATAAGTTATTTAGTGGGAAAGGTTTTAATAATGATCTTCAAATTCTCAGATGCAGCGATCAATATACCTAAAAACGAAGTTTTAAATTAACAGCATCATTTTTTTCATTTTTGGTCCATCATACGATTTCGTCATTTTTTATTTTAAAATTTAGAAACTTTAAGACGGTATTCATAGTTAGATCTTATATTTAGGACCGTTTTAAGTATAGTCTTAAGATATCATGAACTAATCAGAGGGCTGTATTAGCATCTTGATTTGTCTCTTAAAATGGCTGCAGAACGTCTATTTTGCAACTATTGGAAGTTTTCTTCGAGCTGATTGGGTTATGCTTTTAGATCAAAAGGAATGGTCCTATCTCAGTACAGAATCATAAAACTGTTGTGTTCTGTTAAACGCAGTCAATAAGAACAAACTATGAATACTGGTCTTGATTTCAGATTCAGACCCAACTGACGATTAATTCATAACCGAGGTTCAATTTATTTATTGTCTTTTTCCAATTTTAGAATTGGAAAAAGATAAGAAACAAGTTGAATCTCGGTTAAGAGTTAACTATGAGTTGTGAAATTAAGGAGGGGGGGAGGAAAGAGGGCCTCTTTCATCAATCTCGGTTAAGTTAACTGACGGTTATATGGGGCTGATTTAGGAAATGGGCATTAGACCCAGTTTCACAACTCATTATTACTTATTATTACTTAAAATAAGTTAAACCTCGGTTAAAAGTTAACCATGAATTGTGAAACTGGGTCCAATGCCCATTTCCATCAATGAGATTAATTTTAATCTCGGTTCTCAACTTTTCGTCTTTTTCCAATCTTTAGAATTAAAAAAAGACAAAGAGTAAATGTGGAAATGGGCCTAAATGAGTCCCACATAACCTCGGTTAAGGTAACCGTCGGTTACCTTAATCGAGGTTGGTGAAAGAAATCCTCAGTGAATCAAAAAATCCCTATATCATTATAAGAGATATTCAAACTATTTATTGTATTTGGATTTACAATAGAAAATATCAATTTTTTCCATATTTTTCAAGGTTTACTATAGATACTAATTTATAATAATAAAAAAAAAAAGTACAGAAAAAATCTGAAAATTGTGAAAAATACTTTATTGTCTTATTTTATTTGTTTTAATTGAGTACCTAAATTGTTGTTTTGATATTGATAATAGTTTTAAAAAATGTATTAAAAAATAATTTTAATAAAATAACATCAATTTTAATTACTTGTTTAACTAGAATGATTAAGCAAATAAAAATTTATGGTTATATTTTTTAAAATTATTCATTTATTTATGTTCTAGAGATTCCACGAAAACAAAATATCTACTTAATTCGAGTCAAGAAATTCATAAAAATAATTAAAAACTAAGCGGAAAAAGGTAAGACTTTCGTGACACAAGGGATTAATTATATACATACATATATAATATTGTACAGTATCAAAAATCTAGAAACGGTCTTGAAAGCAAATTTTTGCAGAGGGAAATCTGAGAGAGAGAGGCCATGACGGTCCAAAAACCTATAATATCGCAAAATGCTACTGCGTACTATCACCTTCTGAAGAAGTGGATGTTAACTACACAATAATATACACCTTTTTGTGATGTTCCTAATGGAAATAAATCGCTGAAATCGTTAAAATCTCTATTAATTTGATAGATTTTAGTTATTTCAGCGATTTCAAACTATCTATTCTGGATAATATTTGTCAAGATCAAGATCATTAGAGGTTGCACCTCTTATTTTCATTTTTACGTAAAAATGAATTTTTAGTGCAAAAATGCAAATGATAGGAATAATCTTCAATGGGCTTGGCCTTGAACAAATGTTATTCAAAACATGACCCTGAACAATATTCAAGAGGTTTTAGCCATCGGTTGGACAATGCTAATGTCGTTGGGTAATGCTAATGTCGACGATACGATAACTTCCAAACTTTATAATTTGAAAAGTACTTAATTAAAAATAACTTTATTACAATGTTTTAAAAAGTTCTTGACATCAGTTATTAAATTCTGGCATCAAAAATAGGGCATTCCATAAAAAAAAAATCAACTTGACCTTGATCTGACCTTGGCGATGCTACTCAAGGTTAAACGGATGATATCAGTGAATAAACCTTTTTAAATTCTACAACTTTTGTTGGAAACATTTTTCCCAAAAATGCTTTTCTTTTGAGATATTCGACCGTTTCCAAACTTTTGATACACTCTGTACACTCTGTACACGCACGCACGCACGCACGCACGCACGCACGCACGCATGCTATTATATATTTTATACACACACACACACACACACACACATATATATATATATAT